ATACCTCATGACATGCACACATACCTCATGTCACTCACACATACCTCATGACATGCAAACATACCTCACGACTTGCACACATCCTTCACGACATGCACACATCCCTCATGACATACACACATCCCTCACGACACACACACATACCTCATAACACAAACACATACTTCATGACATGCACACACACCTCATGACACGCACACACACGCACACATATACCCACAAGCGTACATCCCTTACCCTCCCCTCCACCCTCCCACCCACCTATATGCGAGCGTCCCACTAGCACCTTGAAGTGCATAATCTCCGATGGCTGTGGCTGGTGGGCGTGGGCACTGGCCACTTGGAAGCGCATGGGCCACACATGGGAACCTTGGCTGCGGTCGGATTTAGTTTTGAATGTGTGTTTGCGGTAGCTGCCGGTTAAGGTGACCGTGTCTGTGTTCTGTGGGGAGGGGAGCGGGTGAATGGCTAAGATGTGATACACACACAGAGAGTATTGAATATTGGATAGAGAATTAATACAGAGAGTATTGAATATTAGATAGACAATTAATACAGAGAGTATTGGATATTAGATAGACAATTAATACAGAGATTATTGGATATTTGATAGACAATCAATACAGAGAGCATTGAATATTGGACAGACAATTAATACAGAGAGTACTGGATATTAGATAGACAATCAATACAGAGAGGATTGGATAATAGATTGATAATCAATACAAGAGTATTGGATATTAGATAGACAATTAATACAGAGTATTGGATAATAGATAGACAATTAATACAGAGAGTATTGGATATTAGATAGACAATTAATACAGAGAGTATTGGATATTAGATAGACAATTAATACAGAGAGTATTGTATATTTGATAGACAATCAATACAGAGAGCATTGTATATTTGATAGACAATCAATACAGAGAGTATTGTATATTTGATAGACAATCAATACAGAGAGCATTGTATCATAGATAGACAATTATTACAGAGAGTATTGGATATTAGATAGACAATTAATACAGAGAGTATTGGATAATAGATAGGCAATTAATAGAGAGAGTATTGGATTTTAGATAGAAAATCAATACAGAGTATTGGAAATTAGATACAATTAATAGAGAGTATTGGATATTAGTTATACAATTAATACAGGGAGTATTGGGTATCAGTCATATACAGTATAATATAGTGTTTCCAACAGTGTAGATGCAGATGTGTGTGTAGTTGATTACTTGATCTGCGTTCGTGCGTGCGTGTGTGTGTGTAGAAGGTGGTTCCAAAGTTGATCGGTGTAGAGGTGGTAAGTTGATCGGTAAAAGGTGGTAAGTTGATCGGTAAAAGTGGTAAGTTGATCGTTAAATGGTGGTAAGTTGATCGGTAAAAGGTGGTAAGTTGCGTTTCTTTGGGTGGGCAGGGAGGCTAAGTACTACACAAACAACGGTCAAGGTTTGATCGTAGAGCATGCAGCAACCCCTGCGGCCCACTCAATCAATCGACGCCGAGATAGATCACAGGCAAGTAAACCCTAAACCCTAAACCTTACAACAAGCCGAAGAATGAAATCCCTACCTACGTGGGCAGCAGGGTAGAAGAGTTGAATAAGCACCCAAGTTCATCGTCACTACGGGGACTTATCACAATACCAGACGTTAAACAACACACTATTGCGAACAAACACCAGTACGTACACGATGACTACGCATGCACACACACCAACCCACACAGACAGGTGCTTACCACTGGCATGATTGCCTGTATCGGGGTAGGAAGACACACAGACACAAAACACAAGCACATACACATACATAACCAACGCACTATTCCGAAGGAGCAGTACACGCACACCATCACTACACTTGCACACACACACACACACACCCCCAACCACACCTTCACATGGGATTCTGTGGTAAAGCTGGCTGTCACCGGGCCTACCACCCAGCTTCCCTCCTCCCGCACATACACTATAGGAGACGCTAGCAACGGACCCCTGGGCAGCAACCACGCACCACTGCCCATAGACCGGCACATTAGCAGAGCCTCAGACGTGTTGATAAAGGGCAGCCCAAAGTCTTCGCCCACCACGGCCGAGCGGATGGCTTTGAGTGCACCCAGCCATGGACCACCCGCTGAGAGGACAGGGCCGGGGGACGGGGCAGGCAGGTACGCGTAAGGAGGAAGGTATAACGTAGGTGTCTCAGGTACAAAGCGTGGCACGAAAGGTAGACTGAGATAAACCCTAAACCCTGTTATAGAAGGTGTAGAACTTACGTACAAATGTATGCGGATATAAGAACGTATGTTGCAGTGCGAGTTTATGTATATTAGCCAGTACAGCGTCAAGTGGGTTTAGGGTTTAAGATTTATGGTTAGGGTTTTGGCCTCAAGCGCGCTGGGCACAACCTCATAATAAGAAGCGTGTGAAGGACATACATAGCAAATACACATGCACATACACATATACACATACATACACATATACATACCCATATACATACACACACACATACGTACATACACACAACTCTATCCGACACCCGGCTTACCCGCAACATAGGTGTGGATGTGCACATCCAGCCACCCCTGACCCATCTGCTGCCTGGCAAAGTTCAGGAAGTAATTGGCACATGCACTGCCCATGGAATGGCCAAACAGAACCACTGGTTTGTTGTTGTTAGTCTGATACAGTTGTTCTATAGCCGCCACAAGCGAGCTGAAGTACCCGTCCCGTTCTGCAATGAGAAGCGGACAAGGTGGTCATAGATTGGGGCATGGTTGAATGTAGGGTAGTACACACTTGTGACAGTATAGTGGGATGAAT